TGCCCCCCATGCTTTGCCCCCACTCTCTCAAAAAGAAACACTTAAAAAAGAGGAGCATGAACCGGCAGCAATCAGAGATTGGCATTTGAATTAAGATCAGAGGAAAATTTGGAAAGCTAGTACTTAGGTCCAGTGGGCAGAGGATTTGATAACATGCTGCCTGAGAAAATGGGAGAGAACACAGGAATTTTGGTTGGGATAAAATATCTTTGCCCGTTTTGCAGTTAGACATTCTGCGATGGCCTGTTAAAGTGCCTCCTTTTTTTTTTTATTTTTTTTTATTTTTTCTTAATTTTTTTTTTTCAACATTTATTTATTTTTGGGACAGAGAGAGACAGAGCATGAACGGGGGAGGGGCAGAGAGAGAGGGAGACACAGAATCGGAAACAGGCTCCAGGCTCTGAGCCATCAGCCCAGAGCCTGACGCGGGGCTCGAACTCACGGACCGCGAGATCGTGACCTGGCTGAAGTCGGACGCTTAACCGACTGCGCCACCCAGGCGCCCCTAAAGTGCCTCCTTTAAACAAGGTATGCCATCAGGTTAAAGAGATTAAGCTGATAGAGAGCAGGTCAAAGAAGGCCGTAGCTCTGTAACGGAGCGGATCTGGAATGAGCTAAAGTACAGTAAATGTTGTGCCCCGGGTGCTCATACCTGATGCAGAAGATACTGCGTATAGGAGACTAAAATTCATCGCTTCTTCCTGGGTCATCCTTGTTCAGCCTTGACTTTCTGATTTTGCTGGGTATCTACCCCTCCAATTCCTGTCTTTGTTAGACTGTGAGCCAGGTGATGCGTGCTATCATTCCACTCCTTTCCAAAGGGAATTGTTTGTGCGCTTTTCCCAGTAGAGAGACTATTGTTCTGTGCCTCTTGACAAGCAAAAAAAGGAGTGTGGGTATAAGATGCAAATAACCGTACAGCGGTCAAAGCTGTGCTCTACAGCTGTTAGTCTTGTAAAACCCCTTCCACTAGTTGAGAAGAGGATGGTGGAAGATTGCACGGAAGTTACAATGTGCAGGGAAGATACGTGGGGCCGCTGGGGAGGAAGGGGAGCTGGGCATTAGTGGTGTGGCGGTGTGTGGCCATCAGGGTGGTCTCCTTTCCCACGCCTTCTCTCGTTCATAGTCCCCTCTCTGTTTTCTTTCTTTTTCCCTCCAGCTTTATTTCATGGTTCCGTGCCACGGACATGTTTGTGTATTTCCGTGCCACGGACATGTTTGTGTATTAGCCGCTTGTGGGCCAGCTTCTCAGTGATTACGTTGTTACCTTGTCTTTTCCAGGTGTTCTCTAGTAAATGGGTGCTTCATCAGCTCTTTATTGGCATTTGGAGTTTATTTGTTTGGGGAAGGGCGTTTTAATATTTTCCTTGCGTGTTGTTGATCACATGCCTCTTACTTTGGTTCTGCTTTGCTGCCTGGCATGAGCAGAAATTAACCTAATTTGGAAGGGACACTCACCTGCAGCTGCACCCCCAGTTGGAAGATGGCAGGGGCTCGGGGGGTCGGGGGAGGACTGTCTGTCTTGTGACCGCGGCGTGGTTTGGGGAAGGTTGGGAGGAGGTGACGTGCCCTTGACTCCGATCCACTGAGCCACACCTTGTCATCAGTGTGGAATGGCATGTGTCATTTAGCAGTCCGCTGGATGTTTGACATGAGAGCACTATAATAATTCACCAAATCGGAAATCAGGGATTACTGTAATTATTGCCGTCGGATTGGAGTTTGAGTGGACGGACATCAGATTGGAAAAATGATACTCTTTCTTGTTAGGTATTCAGAATCCTTAGAACATCAGCCTTGAATATTTATCTTTCTCAGGTTTTATTTTGAAATAATTTCAGGGCTGCCCGGGCGGCTCAATTGGTGAAGCGTCCGACGTCGGCTCAGGTCGTGATCTCACAGTTTGTGGGTTTGGACCCTGTGTCGGGCTCTGTGCTGACAGCTCAGACCTTGGAGCCTCCTCCGGATTCTGTATCCGCCTCTCTCTCTGCCTTTCCCCAGCTTGCACTCTGTCTCTTTCTTTCTCTCTCTCTCTCAAAGTAAACATTTAAAAATGGTTGGAAATAATTCCAAGTTTATGGAAAGTTACATTAATAGCACAAAGAATTCCCATATACCCCTTGGCAAGGTTCACCCACTGTTAACTCTTTGCCACGTTCACTCTGTCATTCTCTTTTTTTTTCCTGGATGGCTTGACGGTAAGTTGCACGCATCATGTCCTTTTCCCATGTAAGGCTTATGCAGATATTCTGACAAGGCCATTCTTGTATTTTCAAAGACAGTTCAGTTATCGAATAAGGGAGATTTAACACTGATTAATAATAGAATTCTCTGATACATGGTCCACTTCCGAATTTCTCTATTTCTCCCAGAAATGCTCTTCATTAATTTTTCTCCCGGTCCAGGATCCAGCCTAGAATCATTTGTGGCATTTGGTCACTTTGTCTCTTTATTGTCCCTTCATCAGGAACGCTTTAGCTTTTACCTCCTTGACGTTGGTATTTTGTGAAGAGTGACCATTTATTTACAGACTCTCAATTTGAGTTTGTCTGATGTGTCCTTTTGAATACCTTTGGGAAACGCAGAGTCAGCGGGGACACCATGTTAGTGATGTGTGCTTCTCGGTGCATCGTGTCAGGGGGCACGTGTCCGTCTGTCCCCTCATCGGGGAAACTAACTTGTGGTCTTTGGATCAGTGTGGTATCTTCCAGGTTCTTCCACTTAAAGGTTTATTATTTTTCACTTTGTAGTAAGTCATCTGTGGGAAGCTAACTTTGAGGCTGCTCTGTTCCGTATCAGACTTTCCCTATAGACAGTGTTCCCTATCAGACTTTCATCCACAAAGAATTTCAGCATGCTTTGGTCATTTGGGCGGAGTCATTTATTACTGTGGTGGTTGAGGTTCAAATACCGAATTGCACACACTCAGTGCTACAGGAGGGAGCGTGTTCTAGCTGTTGGCTTCTTCGGCATTTGATGTAATTTTTTTAAATCTTTTTTTAATGTTTATTTATTTTTGAGATGGAGACAGAGCGCAAGTGGCGGGGGGGGGGGTGGGCGGGCAGAGAGAGGGACACAGAATCTGAAGCAGGCTCCAGACTCTGATCTGGTAGCACAGAGCCCGATGCGGGGCTTGAACTCACCGACCGTAAGATCATGACCTAAGCCGAAGTCGGACGCTCAACCCACTGAGCCACCCAGGCTTGGCCCCAAGCATTTGAACGTGTCTTATGTTGAACTGGAACCGGTCTTCTGAGACGTCCACACGGTGCTTCACACCTGAACTCTTGTACCACCCAGGATAAGCCTGCCCCTGTTTTCTCTTTAGCAGCCCTTCAGAATGCATCCCTTTTTGATTTTTCTCTCGGTCCCTTCCATTTCTAACGGTTGTTTCTTGTTAAGAGATGGCTCTCTTGAGTTTGGGACCGCCCTGTTGGTTTCATGATCACACTCATTTACTAGTGTCCACACTTCACATAGGAAACCCCATCCGCAAACAGTTCTAGGTATGTTTTTACCAGGACAGTGGATTGCCATCGCCTGTAATCTGGCTCGATGCTTAAGAGCAGTAGGCCTGGGAGACAAATCTGGGTTCGAGTCCTGTCTCTGTCACTGATTAGCTCTGTGATCTTAAACAAGTTTCTAGCATCTCCAGACTTCAGTTCCATGATCTAGAAAGAGTTGGCAATAATTGCACCTACCTTTTTGAGGGTGGAATGAGGATTAGTGTGCGTGTAAAATTTGGGGACAGGGCCAGTGACACCATAATCACTCATTAAATGTTGATTGTTGTTCATAGACAGAAAACATATTTCTGTTTTACAGCCCGAGATGGGTACAACTTATTTTTTAGCTGTTGTGTCCTACTGTAGGCTCATTTAAACCTAAGGTGATAATCAGCAAGTTGAAAAGAGTTCTGAAGCGCGGTTAGGTTCTCGGACAAGTACTTTAACTTGTGTGAAAGTTATTCCATCGGGTTCCGTCAGTTTTTATGAGGTGTGAATTATTTCTTAAACCTTTGCATGTACGTATAAGTAGATTATAAACAAACATTTGTCTTTTGTAGCAAAGCAAACGTGCGGTAACTTATTTCAGCATTAAGTAATACTTTAAAAAGTAGCCAGTGAAATTGAGTATTTGGACGTTACTTCTCATGGTGTTTCTAACCATGTTGCTAATATAAATAGTAAGTTTACGCCGTGAAATGCTGAAGTATTAACTAAAATTCTCTGTAGAAATTTGAGGCCCATGTCTTATATCCAGGTATTCTAGGACATTTTGATTGAATGCAGTTTTATTTTCCAGACAAGCCTTCTAACGCTTGGTAAACCTGTAGCAGAAATGCTGCTATAGAGATGTGAATTGGTCGGTAAATGTGCTGCAAACTTTCATAGCAAATGTTAGAAATACGGCTCTTACTTCAGTTGAAACAGGACCCAGAATCTCATTCTCCCCACCCAGGAGGGTCCCAAGGGACATTCTTGGGGCACTGAAGTTATCCCCATTGACTGTCTGTTTGTAAAAGTTGTTCTTCTGTTGCTGGACGTTTATGCTAAATAAATTAAACTTTAGAGACACAAAAATACCTAGTTTTGCTTATTTGGGGGTATAAATGATCGTATAAAAAGTAATCCTTGCCCACCTAACCTGTGGCCAGGTGAAGAAAAATCTGTATGGTAAAGTTGTGTATTGCTGTATTGCACGTTGGTGTCAAATACCAAGTGAAGTGTTTTCATTAATTTTCCCTCAACACCCCTTTTTATGTAGCTATAAGAGTGTGAAAGCACCTCTTAAAATTTCAGACAATTAAAATGTACACAATTTTAACTGTCTCAACTCTGTTTCATGTTAAATGTGTTACAGGAATGAATCTGAAATCTGCTGCAGTAAAACACTGAAGGCTTTAAAATGTTTTCTTGCATAAAACTCAAACTTTAAGTAGCTGCTTATGAGGATAGGGAAGGCAGGAAGCCAATGTCTGTCTCAAGATACAGGACAGCTGTTTGCCCATCAGCTTCAACTGTGTGAGTAGACTCAAGCCCATGACCCTGTGTGACCCTGTGTGACCCTGTGTGATGGGGGTAGCCGCTTAAAATGTTTAAATATGAAGTGTTTGGAGAGACACCGAAGGCAGCATGATGAGACGTTTTTTAGGGTCTGTTTTTTTCTGGTGGGTAAGATACTAAGGGTGGGGTGGGTGGGAGATTTTTATTTATAAAATATTTTTGAGAGTAACACTTAATAAGTAAGTATTATTAGTGACCATGCATCTTTTTTTCAGAATTATTTTAAGCATTGGAATCTGCATTACTTAATCGTATTATGGTGAAGCAAAAGGTCAGAATTCTTCAGATTGCTGTTTATTTTGCAATTGATTTCAGCTTTTTAATATTAATGTTTTTAACGGACAACCATAGAAATGTATTTTGGAAATACAGCGTTACATATTAATGTAGGAAATTGCTCTTGGGAATAATTTCATAACGTAAATTACAATTAGTAATTTTTGAATAGCTCTGTTTAACTAGAAAGAGCATGTATTTAAAAATAAAGGAACTCTTGGTCCCTAAATGCAGTTGGAAATCTTTTAGACTTGCCAACTTTGTGTTTTAAAAGTGCTCTGATAATAATGTAAGTACCTGTTGAAGAAAAAAATTCTTAATCAGTTGGAGGCCAGCAGGGATGGGGGCTGATTTTTTTTTTTTTTTTTCCTACTTTCCCCTAGTTTTGTTTGTGTTTTGTATTGGCCTTTTTCCTATGTGGATTTAGGAGTAGGACTCTCAACGGGATGACCTCCCCGCTTAGGGGAATGCGTGGTGCGGATGAAGAGGTGATTAAAATATAAGACGTTGCTGGAAGCCGAGTGATGAGCGTGTAGATAAAAACGTGTCACGTCTTATTAACTGTTCAGGGAGGCTTCAGGGGAAGGGATGGCATTTGCAGTAAGGCGAATTTACTTTGCCTCTCACCTCACAGATGTTTTGGCTGAAGGAAAGTCAAAATCGAGAGTCTCTGGAACCGGTGAGGTGATTGCGAAGGCGTTAGAGAGCCCGCAGAGTGTACCCCGGATGTGGGCACTCGAATGAACGTGGCTGGAGGGTCTGGGGCAGGGAGGAAGGGTGTGTGGTCCGGTCTGTTCAGAAGTGCGGAACACGCCAGGTCACGGTGTGTCCTTCCCCCTGGCTTGGCCAGTGGATGCGCAGCCGTGGGGGACCCTCCGCGGGTCGTCTGATTCCTGATCTTCCAGAAGCCCTGAAAACTTACAACCTCCCTGTTCTTAGTGCTGACATGCGCTAAGGTTCAAGTCTGCAGGCCGAGCTCAGTGCTGCCTCGCGTCTCTTCCCTCCCATCTTCTGAGATGAGTGTCAGAAATAGAGAAAATTCAAGGTGAAGGAGGCCTTTAGAACATCCTCATGAAACTTGGATGTTGAAGACGAGGTTAGGCAGAAAGGACACACATGGGCAAGAGAAGCTTCTGGAGTTTCTCTGTGTCCTGTCCTTGTGCCCCGGGGCAGGTAGAGGACAGGGCTGAGGGAGGAGTGCTGTGCGGGGTGCAGGGAGCACCACCCGACAGGCCCCCCCCCCACCCCCCTGCCTCTGCCTCACGCACCCTCTACCTTGCCTTGTCGCCGAGCCCGCGCTCATTTCCGGAACAGAGTCCCGCCCAGAATGTACACGCAGGTTTCACTTCTTTGGTTGTTGCGTTTTGCAGTAAGTGCGAGCACAGAGCCCCGGGGTTGCAGAGGGCCGCGTAACACGAGTCAGTTAACACGGTTCAGTACTCTGGCCGAGAGTCTGGCTGCATGGGGTCACATCCTAGCTGTGCCTTCTCACAGCATGTTTTATTGAGCATGTGATTTGGTCCGTGCCTCAGCGCCTGTCCTCTGTAAACAGACGTTATGATTTGATACACGATCTCGTGCGGCCGGGTGTCAGCGATACTTGCAGGATATTGTACTGTTAAACTTCGGCTGCTGCTGTAGTGAGGAGGGAGCACCCGGCGGTGTGTTCCAGATCCTCAGTAATAGATTTTAAGGCTTTAGGATTAAGAATTTGGAATCACAGGGCTCCTGGGGGGCTCAGTCGGTTAAGCGTCTGACTTGATTTCAGCTCAGGTCATGATATGGTTCTTGACATCGGGCCCGCCTTGGGCTCTGCGCCGACAGCGTGCATGCGGCCTGCTTGCGATTCTGTCTCCCTCTCTCTCTGCCCCTCCCCTGCTCGAGCACGCACGCACTCTCTCTCTCTCTCTGTCTCTCTCTCTCTCTCTCTCAAAATAAATGAAAAGAAACAAACATGGAATTTAGAAATCACAATGTAAGGTATTTTCAGGTGGGTATTGTGGGCAACATTTCTCTAGTAGTAGAATGGGAATCCCTAACTCTCCTGACCTCCTGTGCTGGTCAGCTGTAGACACTAGCCCCATTTCAGATTTTCGGTAGCCTGATGTGGCTAGTGTACTTTCTAGATTTCTAGATTTGAATCAGGTAATGCATTTACATCAAACGCGACCTGCCTGATGACACATACCTCTTACTGTCTAAGCACAAAAGATTGGCTCTTGCAGCAAATGTGACTCCACAAAGGAGGAGGGAAGGAAGCAAAAATATTTCTTGCAAAACCGTGGTGCAGGTGAGGTGTGTTTTCCCTGGGTTTTAGACCATTTACAAGTCCTCACAACTTCTCAAAAATAAAGGTGGGGACGAAAAGCACGTCAGACAGTGTTGCACGTCTTGAGTTCTGTCAGGAGTGACAGCTTCTGGGAGGAAAGTGAGTGTTCTGTACGTTCAGACGCTGGCGGAGCGCGCTCTGATCCAGAAGCCCCTTGGACAGCGGTGCCGTTCCGGGGGGTATGCTAATCTAAGGCTCTGGGGGACCGGGTATCAGTCGGTAGTTCTCATGTACCGGAGTCCCCTCTGTGCGGGACGAGCCTACTAAAGGCCAAAAGTTGTGTGGATTTCAGCCGGATGGTCACTCTTACTGTGTTTAGAGACAGTGCAGGAGCCAGGGTACCAAGAAGTAGAAACGTGACTGTATGTCCCACGAGAAGTTACCAGCCACCACATTCTACTCAAGGAGCAGAACACATTTGGACAGACACCTGTCCTCACTAAAGAAAGAACACGAGAATGGAAACTCTTACGGAATTGCAAGAAGATTACGGCTTGGTATCTTTTTAGGTGTGTGGTGTTGTACCTCTTCCCCACCCCGCCCCCGAGTTTAGATTGGGTCACCGGGTCAGGCGATCGCCCGGGTCCAGCAGGCTCGCCTGGAGGGGTCAGCCGTGGTGCCGGCCGAACAGCAGGAGCTGAGGCCTGTGGGTACTATGGAGTGTATCGGAGGGGGTGTGGACAGGGAGGCAGTGACGGGCGTTATGATACCGAGCCCCCTCACATCCATGGTCGGGGGGGAGCCTCGCGTGGCATTTTCACAGAGTGCTCACGAAGACCTAAGTGTGAGGTTTTCTGATGTGATTTGTAATTTAGGGAAGAAGTTTGGAGAACTTCAGATGGAACGATGACCTGTGTGCACTCGGGGCATCTCCTGCCAGAGATGGAGAGGCCGCCTGATGGGGCTGGCGGCCTGGTTGTGCTCTAGGGCGTCGGGGCCGGTGTCTCGGCCTTATCCCAGATTGGCTTGCTGTTGGGCATCGTACGCTCTTAATCGGGAACTCAGACTGGATTTTCCATATCTGTTTTAGCCATTTAAACCCCTTACTTCAAATGAAGTCTTTCCCAGAAACCTGATCTGTAAGTCCTAAAAGGACCTGTTCTTGAAACGGAGAGGTTTCAGTCTTCCGTCTCCACTTTCTCCCCACCCTTCCCCTCTGCCTCCACCGTTGTTGATTAGAATTCAGCTTGGGGCGCCTGGGTGGCTCAGTCGGTTGAGCGTCCGACTTCAGCTCAGGTCACCATCTCGCGGTCCGTGAGTTCGAGCCCCGCGTCAGGTTCTGGGCTGATGGCTCAGAGCCTGGAGCCTGCTTCCAATTCTGTGTCTCCCTCTCTGTCTGCCCCTCCCCCGTTCATGCTCTGTCTCTCTCTGTCTCAAAAATAAATAAATGTTAAAAAAAAAAAAAATTAAAAAAAAAAGAAAAAGAAAAAGAATTCAGCTCCGAGAAGGATTGTCTGAATGGTTAGCGCGACAGGAAGATGCTTACCACGCACCCCCTTAGGTGCTTTCCGATTTTAGCTTTGACTGTCTCCTCATAGACTGGCTGTTCACTGAAGCTGGCCGCGATACTGCTGTTTATATTGAAAGGCGGTACCGGTAAACGACCCCAGAAACTAGCATTTTACTTTACAGATCTTGTCGGTCCTTTCGCATCGTGCTCTGCTCCTGAAACTATGGGAACAGCTCTTCTGTCGTCCGAGTCCAGATGATCTGTACTTACGGGTAATTGAGTTTGTTTTTTTTCTGGGTACGTTACCTCTTTACCAGTCCTGCCCTTCTGTGCATTATTAGCTACTAGGAGGAATAGAGCCAAGTGATGCCTTCTCGTTTGCAAATAAGCCCTTATGGACATGTGTTCTGTTTGTCGACAGCATACCAGACCTCTCCTTGTTTTTCTGCCATTTCTCCTCCTAATGTTGTCAAGCAGCCGCACTGGTAAAGTCTCCCGCAGTCCCTTTGAGAACAACAGGAGGTATGTAACGGGGCGGTTAGGGAGGTGTTCGCGAACCGCACCTGCTAAGCCTTCCTTCCCGTCCCTGTTGCCTGCGGACTGCCACTCGGGCTCCTCAGCCTGGCCGCGGAGGCGCTGCGGGTGAGGGTCCTGGTGGGAGTCTGCTCCCACCTTCCTGTATCCCAGGCGCACGGGGTTCGCCGCCCTGGTGAGACCACATACTGGCCTTTAACCTGCCCTCCCACCCCTCCCTCCCCCGGTCAGTATGAAATACAAGCGCTTAGCAGGTTCTTTATTGGCAGTTATCTGGAATAAGCAGTGTGTCCTGTCGTGAACTTTTGGGAGGAGCATTTGGAAACCGTCCCCTCACACTTTTAGTCCAGAAGGGCTTATGGCCCCCGT